CAACCATGTTGATATATCAAATGAACTAATGGTGTAATACGACGTGACTGCCTTACTTACAAACGTACTAGTTATGAAAACAATAGACATCATCTGTAAACAAACAAATCTATTGCCATTTGCGGAAACAGAGATGAAGCGCCACTAATTCTTCGCACAAAGATATCCAATCGGTAGCATAGTGGTTAGGACTCTCGCCGACCATGCACATGGGCCGGGGTTCGAGCCCACGCCGACGCATACCTGATATCTATGGTCGGCCTGCGAATTTTGGGCTACTGATATCCACGCTGAAAATTCCAAACTTGTACCAAAAATACGGTGTGGAATCAAGCTGTAATCAAAAATAAATAAAAAAAATAAATTCTACTGACAAATTTACGGGGTCGCCATGGGTTCACCTCTAAGACCTATTCTAGCTGACGTCTTCATGAGTTATCTCGAACAGAAGCGACTATGTGACGCTATCAATGAAACAACATACTATCGTCGATGTGTCAATGATACGTTTGTTGTTTGTAATGACATGAGTCAGGCATCCTTATTATTTGATCGCATTAATGAGATCCACCCAAACACTAAATTGACCATGGAATTTGAACACAGAGACGAGTTCAATTTCCTCGACCTAAATGTAAAAGGAAGAAACTATGAAATGGTTGAAAAGTTCCTATACAGAAAAGAAACTTGGACCGGACAATGTCTTCACTGCAACAGCTTCTACCCAATAAGCTGTAAGTGGAGATTAGTAAGGACACTGTACGACAGGGTCAGGAAGTTATGTTCACCCAACAAGGTAGAAGACGAATTAAGCTTTATTAAAAAATGTCTTAAAGAAAAATGGTATTCAAAGGGATTTATTTTAAAATACAGCAAAGAAAGAGATGAGAAAGCGAAGTATCCAGCAGTTGAAAAGAAGAAAGTGTTCATTTGTCTCCCATACAAAAGAGAAGCAGTATCACAAAAGATTGAAAAGAGGATGAAGGGAGCAATAAAGAAATGCTTCCCTGCATCTAAGCTAGTGACACCATGCAGCACTGCATGCACTATAAACCAATCGAAACTGAATAAATACCCTACTGATGTTACCTCCAACTGCATTCATAAATTTATGTGCACTTATAGCAGCAAGTACATTGGAAGGACAGAAAGAAGGGCTTCTATCCAGTTTTCAGAGCATATTCCAAGAAACTTATGCTTAAAAGGAAGCAGATATTTACAAAGTAAAATCACCAGACACCTTGTAGATACAGATCATTTTGTCGAGATTTCCAAATCCTTTGAAATATTAGGCGTAAAAAGGACAGCGAATCTACTACGATATGCTGAAGCAATTGCAATCAAATGTCTCAAACCAAACTTATGCACATAGAAAGAGGCAGTGTAGTCAATCTCTCACTCCCTTCGTAACCGTATTACTTTCATTACACACTGATTAGTCATGCACACTGGTGAGCTCAGCTCACTAAGCAAGTTTTCAATTTGATAAACTTTAACGTTTTTGAGTTGCCATGTTGACATACAAGCTAACATTGTTTATTAGATTTTTTTCGTTTTCTCTCTTATCTCACCTCCGTTTTTTTCATAGTTTGATAGTATATAAATTGATGGTAACTTAAAATAAAAATTGTAATACTTACATTCCGAATGCGTTCATCTCATAATGTTTTCTTTATTACCTCTCAAATATTGAAATGTGAAATGTTATTATTTATAACCACTGTAATTTCAGGTTGTTTGCAGTTGATGAGAACCTGTGAAATAGAATGATGATGCATCATTTTTGATACTGCAAATCTGATCTTTCTTTCTCTATCAAAGTTGTAAAGTCTTATGAATACAGTGATCTGATGACCAATAGCAATAAACTGCACTTGAAATGTTATCCAGTTGTTAATACTGTATCACTCACTATGTGATATTTAAAATAAACTTGTCTAGGATGAAGCGTGGTTAGTGTTGTAAAGGAGTGTTTATGATTTGTTGGTTATTGCTTACTTTGACTACAATGCGTCTTCAAACGCAACACTATGGCCAACTAGTCACTTGAAAATATTTCCCCACACTGAAGTACACTCAAAAGTCTGATTATACTATGACAACCGTGACAGTAACAGTCACTCTATTATACAAAATATTGAGTATAAAATATCGTTTTCACATCCACGGAGATTCAAATCATGAGTGTATAACCAACATCTGGTTGATTACGTGACCTTGAAGGTCCTCAAAAATAAATCAGTCAAAAACTGTCCAAACAGGTTGCTATGTCAGCGCATGCAGCTGGTCCATCCTAACACCTCGCCTAAATATTTGGTTTTCAATTAAGGGACCACTGGAAATATTATGAGATCCTTGCGGGGTGTACAGCTGACTTAACCAGCAAAAGTAAGGAAGTCATTACATAGTTCTTTGGTCAGAGCTAAGCATTCGCAGCGGATATTGATTACTGATGCATGTTACCGAAATATTTTATGAAGAACTTGCATTATTTCAACAAAATCAATGTCACCAAAAAGTGTTTCCCAAAGGGGTGATTTATCAATCTCGAATCAGTGCCAAATAGACCAACATCATAACGATTGGTAAGATGAGATTATTACTATCATTATTTATTCCTTTAAGTTCCCAGTGGAACATAGGGCTTCAAGCTACAGGCTTAAAGTTTCGGTAGCAGTGACATTTATTTTTACGGAACGGGCTTGCTAGCCTCATGCTCAACCTTCCCTCTATATCAGTCTTATTGCTGCCTTAGGGAGGTAAAGGAGTGCGTCGGCCAGAGATCGAACTCCGAACCACATGTATGGTCGGTGAGCATTCTACCGCTGTGCCACTGACGCAAAAGTGAGATAACATAAATCTTCAAATTTCCTTGAAATGAATCAAACATCTCAAGAGATTTCACCAACTAATTTCAGGTAATTTCCAGAAGCATTATTAGCAGCCTTGCCCTTAGTGGGAACCAGAGAGAACTCTTCCTTCTCCTCTAAGACAAAAGAAACTGGCATGGAAATCTCCAGCACTTGAACTGAACATAACTCCTGGTTTTACAGAAATACTGCCTTCACTACAGTTTAATGAATTACTGAAATTCAGATTATCCATCTTAGTGTTTAACATCACTTTTCATGGATTCACTGAAATACCAAGAGTGTGCAAATAATACATCAACTGAAAAATTGCTGTGTACTAGTTCTTTGACTGATTGAATGACAGAATCAATGATCTTAGTATGCCAATGACTAGCTAGTCCTAACAAAAACTGACTAAACATCACTTTCATTTCATAAACATCGTTTAAATTTTAAATAAATAAGCTAATATCAGAGATGTTATATATACTGTAATACACTAGCCGCGTTCAATGAAATTCATAGAACAGTCTACTGACTGATATAATCGATGAAGAAAGAATAACGAATCAGTTGGAGAATCTTTTCAGTTAAAGACTGTATAACAGTGACCACCTACACGATCTCATTAAAAGGATGGAACCCAATATCTTCAAATGATGTGATTAGTCTGCTAACCATTCAGTCAATGAAACCAAACTGTGTGAATCATACATCGACTAGTGATTTTCTCTGTAATTTTGTAGCTGAGTAAATGAAATAATCAATAATCTCAGTATAGAAGTAATTAAATGACTGCAAAGATAATTTACTTAGATCAATTTCACTTGGAAGTCTTCATACCTCATCTATCCCTATTGTAACACCAATTAGACTTGCTCAAAACTGATGGATATTTGATTAAAACACTCCGCTGAAAAGTAAAAATGATTAGATAAAATACTCAATTATAGGAGAATTTTCGGTGAGTTGGTTACCAAAAAACATATATCTCACAGCTGCAATATTATCTAGTTCGGCCAGTTCTACTTTGAATAAATCTTCACATCTTCCAAACCATAAGTTAAACAATCAACTAATAAACAATATCTGATTGATTGCATGACCTTGAAGCTCCTTTAAAATAAATCGATCAAAAATTGTCCAGCCGAGTTATTATTATTATTATGTAGGCGCATGCACCAATCACACAACTTCACGGCTAATAAAGATAATTAGCTCGTCCTAACATTTAGTAAACCGTCGTTTCATAACCACTTGGGCAACAACAATAACAGAAGAGTAATAATAATTATATATATATATGAGATATGTGATTGTTAATGCCTTATTGATTTTCTCGCCTAACTAAAGCATCATTTATCATTTTTAATTGGATCCCCTTATTATCAAAATGATATTTAATATATGAATCTGTGAAAAATGTCATCTGAGGGAAAAAAACATTTACAACAACAAATAAAGACAAATATGTTCTCTCTCTCTCCCTCTCCCTTTTATCCACAACAAAATACAAAATGGAAAACAAAATTCTTTTTTGGGGAATTACACCGTTATAACAAAAAAAAATCACATCTCATGTGATCAAACAATCAAATACAAGTATAAAATACTTTGTCATTCATAAACGAATTTGTATTTGTATATAGTGACATTATTTTTTCAATTCCTTTGTTTTCTGAAGGCGAGATATATATATGGGGCTTCAAGCTTGAGTTGTGAAGTTTTAGCAGCATTGATGATGATGTGGAATTGCTAGTCTTCCATCTGATCGATCCCTTCATCCTCTTCTTCAGATTAACTAGCAGTTAGTGAGCTAGGTGAGGTATACGAGTGAGTATTTTGATTGAACGCTAGTAACTAGTGTGATGCGTCTAGTCATTTCTTTGGTGCAGACTGAATTCTATCAGTCAGAAGGGATATGAGTTGCTTCATGGTTGCAGAAACGCCTTGCTGATGAGTGCCAACTAGCAGGAAACCTAGGTCAAGCAAGGCTTCATGCGGCCGATTGCCTCCAACCATTTAATATCATACGAGTGAGTACATTGGCTAGGAAATGAATCTAAGAGAGATACATACATTAGGTTGAACAAAGCAAGTAGAACACATTCATCATGAGGATAAATATAGTGTCATTGTATTTTTTTGGTTTTCGTCGACGAAATACAACAATGAACAATTTAGTATCAGTGTTAAATATTATTCAGATACTTTACTTATTCATTATAAAGGTGAAGGTTACTTAAATCACGTGATTAAGTAGTATAATGGAAAGAAGTAAATATTTTTGTTGAGCATGTTAGCGTCTATGCCAATAATAATTACGAAGGAATATTCAAAACTCGACAGAGATGTTAAACTAACAACATACTTACACAAGGGTTATATAATTGACATTTCCATCCAAGGGTATATGCATTGGATTTGTCATCGCATATCAGAGAATATTCCAAGATCCTTATTTCTGAAAAAATGGAGAACGTCTTTAGTAGTCTTGTTGGTTGTCTAGAATAATAGCCTTATTCTAAAAAATGCATTCATATATTATACAAAAATTTTAGTGACTTTCAATGTAAGATATTTAATCCCTACGTAGAATCTTCAAACAATATAATGTATCGATAATAACTGAGTAAAAAGTGCCCAATTAAAATTTTTTTCAAAAGAATGGTTACTGAACAAGGAATACTCCTTTCGATAACCAGCTCTTCATCAGGTTCTACAGTTATTTATACATAATAGTCAATGAATTAGTTTTATTACCAATGTTAATGTTGTTTAAATAACATCGAATCAGTAATAATATTAATAGATTACAGTTCAGTAGCATCAATATAACACTACACACTGAATACCAGAAAAAATAGGAAAGATAACAATAATATAAATTCATGAATTTATAGTCTTCACTAAAGGCTACCCAAGGTAGTAGTAGTAGTGGCTGATTGGACTTGCTTCTTCTGCACACAAAGCACTGGTTGCTTCACGCGAATCACGATACCCTCTCCTGTTTGGAGTATGCGGTACCTCGATGTTTTCGTCAATTTATTTGATACGTGGTAGATGATAGGGAAGGATTCTTCGATTCTGGCTAGCTCTGTGGCCGGTTTCGACCAGGTGTTCTAATATCTAACTGTTTATGGTTTTCACCACACCTTTTAATTAGACAAACTGGGAGATGTTCGCGAGCAAGCACGAAAAATCAAGTTCCATACGCAATGACCAATATAACTCGCTCCACCACAAGCGCATTTCAATTGATTGGTAGATACAATTGGAAGTGGCTAGTCTAGGTACTTCATCTTTCAATAGAGGAATCACCATGGGTGGTGTGGAGAAAAAGACCTGTAGTTCGCCGGCATTAGGAGTCCTTTGAACTGATTTTCTTAATTGCTTCGTAATTATTTCGCTAGATATATATATATATATCTTCCTTGGATTGCAGTCGTATTTATGGAGGCTTCTTGTTTACAGATAGTGAGTAGTCTTTTTCTGCTTTCAATATTGTCTCACCAGAAGCTTTTTCCAGTACTAATTCACAATGTTTTTCCTTCATTTCTTTTGAAAAATTCGTGTAGCTGAAGGTAGAAACTCTATTGAAATAGTGCACAAGTACGAATTGTGACTCACTGTGGTAATTAGATCAATAAAATAATATGAAACGAAGTAAACAGGATTCATTTTGATGAATAAGAAATCTAGGTCATCCAATGATTTAAGCAGGTCACCGTGGTCATAAAATCGATGTGTTAATACTCTTTAAGATAATTAGAAATCAGGTATTTTTACAGGTTGCTGTATATTACTAAATTGATCACTGTTAAACAGTTAAAATAAAATTTATTCACTCAGAAGGAAACTGTGATTAATCCTGCCTTACGATGGTGAATATACTTGACCAGACTGTTTTTTTGACGTCTGGTCAACTATATTATCTAACATTTACGTAGAAGTGTTGTTAATTTTGATATTTTGTTCAATTTGGAACATTAGGTGATAATTATAAGACATTTTCTAGTTACTTTTATTTATGCTTAACAGCAACAGACGGGCAAACCAAAAACCAAATCGACTTCATCTCAATCTCAAGGAAGTAGAGGCGCAGCCTACTGGATACAAAAACAAGAAGAGGAGCAGACGTTGGCTCAGACCACTATCTCGTACAGGGGACAATCCAAATCAAATTAAAAGCTTTCAGGGAAACAGGAGCTGCAGATAGACCACAAGCCAAGTTCAACACTCAAAACCTGAAGGACCAGGCTACAAAGGACATCTTCATTGCAAGCATAAAGGACAAAGCCGAGACACAAATCAACACCAGAGAAAAGGTCAGCGTCGAAAAGCACTGGAACAACTTGAAAACGGTGTGGAGTCAAACCTGCATGGACATTCTAGGCAGAAAAAAGAGACAGGACAAACAGTGGCTCACTACAGACACTTGGAAACTAATAGAAGAGAGAAGGACAGTGAAACAAAAGATTATCCAGTGCACTGACGAGCAACAAAAACAGGAGCTGAATGCAAGCTACAATACACTGAACAAAAGAGTGAAGAAGATTGCCAGGGAAGACAAAATAAAATATTATGAAACCATGGCAAACGAAGCAGAACAAGCCGCAGGAAAAGGAGACCACGCCACACTCTATCAAACAACTAGGCACCTATCGGGCAAAAGTTCGACACAGATTAAGCCAATAAAGGACGACAATGGAAAGTCAATCACCAAAGAGGTGGAACAGAGAAAGCACTGGGCTGAACACTTCAAAAGACTTCTAAATCGTCCGCCACCTACAACACGCCCAACAATACCAACAACGGAAGCAGAACTACCAGTGAACATTGACCCCCCGACGAAATCAGAAGTCCTGAATGCCATGAAGATGCTAAAAGCTGGGAAAGCACCAGGACCAGATGGAATCCCAGCAGAAGCTTTGAAAATAGACCCAGAGACAACAGCGGACTTGATGACGCCACTGCTGGAGAAGGTGTGGAAAGAGGGCAAAGTACCCGAGGATTGGAAGGAAGGATACTTATTCAAACTACCAAAGAAAAGAGACTTAAGTCAATGTAAAATCTGGCGTGGAATTATGCTTCTGTCCATTCCAAGCAAAATACTAAGTCGCATCATCCTGGAGAGAATCAAACAAGCCCTGGATCAAAAACTTCGACCGGAACAGGCCGGATTCAGGAGAAACAAATCATGTATTGATCAAATCGCCACTCTACGGATCATCATTGAACAAAGCTTGGAATGGCGGTCACCTCTCTATCTCAACTTCATAGACTTCGAGAAGGCCTTCGACAGCGTCGATCGAGAGGTCATTTGGCAACTACTTCGCTACTACGGGGTCCCATCGACAATTATACATCTCATCCAACAGTTATACGACAATGCTGCATGCCAAGTAATCCACAACGGGAAACTTACGGAAGCCTTCGAAGTGAGGACGGGAGTGAGGCAATGCTACCTATTATCACCAATGATCTTCCTGATTGCAGTAGATTCGATAACGCGACAGACAACGGCAACCAACGAGGGAATGAGCATAAAATGGACTCACACAAAAGACTTGGAGGATCTGGACTTCTCCGATGATATATGTCGGATTTCCCATAAACTGGAAGATATGCAAGTGAAAAGCAACAAGCTGACGGAACAAGCATCAAATATAGGACTTCAAGTGAACATGGAGAAAACAAAGCTTATGAAGATTCCTAGTCAACATCAACAGCAACAACAACAGACAACAATCAGCCAGCATAAATGGGAGGAACCTGAAAGAAACAGCCTCCTTCACCTACCTGGGAAGCATCGTCTCAACTATAGGCGGAACTGACAAGGATATCAAAGCCAGAATCGGAAAAGCAAGACAAGCTTTCATTACTCTAAAATCTGTGTGGAGGTCAGCAGTACTCATCATCAAAAATGAGATCCGGATCTTCAACTCGAATGTAAAGTCAGTCAGTACTACTATACGGATCAGAGACTTGGCGCGTCATAAAGAGCATCTCAAACAAACTTCAGACCTTCATTAACAGTTGTCTTCGCTCAATACTCAAGATCAGATGGACGGTCAGAAAAGATCAGCAACAGGGATCTCTGGCGATGAGCGAACCAACCCAGCAGGAACCGATTGTGAAACAAATAGGCAGGAAGAAATGGAGATGGATTGGCCATACGCTGAGGAAACCGTCAAGTGACATCACTAGACAAGCCCTCAAGTGGAACCCGAAAGGGAGGCAGCGAGTTGGTCGTCCAAGGGTGACTTGGAGGAGGTCATGTGAGGAGAAGATGAAAGCATGTGGATAGACCTGGAGCGGGGTGAAAAAGTTGTCAGAAAACAGAAGGCAATGGAGGTGCGCAGCTGAAGCCCTATGTTCCTCTAGGAACTAAAGGATACAATAAATAATAATAATAATAAGTGTGCTATTCAATCACATGTGCGTCGGTGGCACACTGGTTAGGACTCTCGCCGACCATGCACATGGTCCAGGGTTTGATTCCCTACCGATGCACACCAGATATCTATAGTCAACCTGCAAAATATATTATTATTATTGCTCCCTTGGGTTCCTAGTGGAACATAGGGCTTCAACTGCACGTCTCCATTTTCTTCTGTCTTCTGCTATACTTTTCGCCTGCATCCATGTTGATCCATATTCTTTCAACTCCTCTTCACACGATCTCCTCCATGTCACCCTTGGACGTCCCACACGCCGCTTCCCTTTCGGCTTCCACTCGAGGGCCTGGCGCGCGATGTAACCCAGAGGCCTTCTCAGCGAGTGTCCAATCCATCTCCACTTTCTCCTGCATATTTCTTGGGCGAGTGGTTCTTGCTTTGTTTGTTCCCATAATTCCTTGTTGGTGATTCTTTCCGGCCATCTGATCTTCAGTATTGAGCGAAGACAGTTGTTAATAAAGGTCTACAGCCTTTTGGAAATATTCTTTGTGACCGTCCAAGTTTCTGATCCGTATAGAAGAACTGACTTGACGTTTGTATTGAAAATCCTAATTTTGTTGTTGATGCTGAGTGACGAAGATTTCCAGATTGATTTCAGGCTGATGAATGTGTTTCTCGCCTTCCCGATTCTCGATTTGACATCCTCGTCCGTCCCGCCTGTAGTTGAGACAATGCTCCCTAGATAAGTGAATGAAGTAACCTCTTTCAAATCCCTCCCGTTGATGGTGATTGACGTTGGATGTTGTTGCTGTTGTTGGTTGGTTATTTTCATAACCTCCGTCTTGTCTATGTTCACTTGGAGTCCTGTCTTCACCGGCTGCTTCTTCGACCAGTTTGTCGGTTTTCGCTTGTAAGTCTTCGATTGTGTGTGACATCAAACATAAATCATCCACCGCGAAATCCAGGTCTTCTAGGTTCTTCACGTCGGTCCAGGATATTCCTGTCTTCTCGTTTCCCACAGTCTGACGCATAATCCAGTCCACCACAATTAGGAATATCATTG